AATTGAGAAAACAGGTTCTGGTTGGTCAGTGGTAGCAGTGTTAAATATCATTTTGAATGTGTTTGAAAAGTTCTAATGCCCTTCTTGTTCTTCTGGGGGCTCTATTTGTGGTAAAAGTTTGTTTCAGTCTAGATACCAGGTATTTGCCCATGCTATGCAAATACCTCTATTTCTGAACCAAATCCCTAGTCTGCAATTCCTCTGTAAAATTTGTAAAATAATATTGATTTGTAAAATAATATTGATAATTTATAACTTTCTGGGGAATAAATAATATCCTATTAAAATATCTCAGTTTATATGCTTTTTCTAACACTTGAAAGTTACTGACTCATCACATAAACCTGGTAATAGGTTACATATTTCTTGCTTAATGTTTAGTTTGGAGTCACCCATGAAAGGGAAGAAAAATTTAAACTAGTGACTTGTGGTTTTCACTGAATCATTCAAAATATTGAGTGGGTCTGTTTTCTTGATTGCTATGGTAACTCAGGCTAGTTTATGCTTTTGATTTTTATTTCTCCTAGAAAAACTTTAGTGTGTACCAATCATAATTTTTGAGCATACTAAGCAGTATCTTGTCATATTAAGAGACAGAGAACTGCTTTGTTCTGTGTATAGTTTACAGATACCTCCTATATTTCATTAGTGTGTTTGTGGGGTTTTTTTCCTTTTTAATGTAGAACAGCTGTAGTCAGTTTCTCTTAAGAATGCAAAATTTCTGGCCAGGAATGTGGCTTAGTAGTAGAATGCTTGCCTTAGTGTGCATGAAGCACTGGGTTCAATTCCTCAATACCACATAAACAGAAAAGGCCAGAAGTGACACTGTGGCTCATTTGGCAGAGTGCTAGCCTTGAGCAAAAGCAGCTCAGGGACAGTGCCCAGGCCCCAAGTTCAAGCCCTGGACTGTCAAAAAATAAAATAGTGCAAGATCTGGAACTGGAGGCATGGCTGAAGTGGTAGAGCTCCAGCCTTGAGCCAAAAAAGGCTGAGTTCAAAAGCCCCAGTACCAGCACACACACTAAAAAAAAAGGAAAAGAAGGTCTATCATAGTTCTATTTAGTAAGAACTTCATTCTGTCCTCTGCTCTTCATTCAACTGTTACCCAGTTGATGAATATAAACATCGCTATGGTTGTTCTCTAGTTTGCTCCTATGGGCAGGAGCATAGATTATTTTGTCATTAGTCAGAATATGGTCCTTTCTTTTAGACATCATTTCTAATGATATTTGGCTTTACAATTAATCATCATGGCTCAGTCAGTCATGGAATACTACCTACTTTTCATTAAAACCATCTGTGGCCAATATCCTTCACAGATTTACCTTTCTCCATTGTTGAAATTAAATTATTTCTTCTACTTTCTGTCCATTTGCACTCATTCAATCTCTGTTAACCTAGCAAGTATGAGGCTGGATTCCCAGACCCAGTGCTGCAAGGGGGAAAGTGGCCATTCCTGGTAGACCTGCTCACCTTTGGCTTCTGTGCCACACTGGTCTGTCTCACAGATAAAGGAGGACTTGCTTAAATAGAAAAAGTGTCAATATTCAGATTGCAAGTAAGAGTCATCTTTGTTGTTGTTGTTTTGTTTCCTATACTGGGGTTTAAATTCAGCCTGGCTGGGCCAGGCCATCTTCTAAATGAACCATACCCAAGGAATTGACAATTAAGCAATTCCTTTCAATACATGAAGTTTTAGGGATTATTTTTAAAATGTGTATGTATATATTATCTATTTGAGGCCTTCTTTTTTTTAACTTAGGAAGCAAAATAGGAATTCTTAAGATATATAACCATTCAAAAGTTCTTTTGTTGTGTCCACACACTCTGATTCTACTCATTTCTTTCCTTTTTTTCTTTTTTTTTGGTTGGTTGTGGGGCCTGAACTCTGGGCCTGGGCACTGACCCTCAGCTCTTCAGCTCAAGGCTAGCGCTCTACCACTTGAGCCACAGCACCACTTCCAGCTTTTTCTGCTTATGTGGTGCTGAGGAATCGAACCCAGGGCCTCATGCATGCAAGGCAAGCGCTCTACCACTGAGCCAACTTCCCAGCCCCCTTGTACTCATTGCTTGATGTCTACTGAATGCATAAATTTTGTACAGAATATCTTCCTTTTTGTATTCTTTTATTCCATTAGAATATAGTGCAGAATATTCAAGTAACAGTATATTTTTAGCAGTTATCTTTGGTTTGGGATCCCATAGGAATAAAAATAACTAACTTTCCTGGAATGTGAGTGTATCCTGTTTACTGCAGTTGGTCTCAACTACTACTACATAATATTTTGTGAATGTACTTTGAGATTTTTATTTTTTCATGTCAATAGCTTACATCTCTACTAGTATACTGCCAGAAGTAAAAGCTTTGTGTACTCTGTTGTGTGCCTTGCTTCAGTTTCTGTCTTTACCTGCCCCCACCTATATTACTCCAGGACTTAACTCCTCTAAGCTATTGCTGCTTTCCAGATAGCCACTCTGGTGCTATAAGAGGTTGTTTTTTTTTTTGGGGGGGGGGTCCGGTCGTGGGGCCTGAACTCAGGGCCTGGGCGCTGTCCCTCAGCTCTTCAGCTCAAAGCTAGCAGTCTACCACTTGAGCCACAGTGCCACTTCCGGCTTTGTTCTTTTTGCTTATGTGGTGCTAAGGAATTGAACCCAGGGCCTCAGGCATGCAAGGCAAGCACTCTACCACTGAGCCACCTTCCCAGCCCATGGTGCTATAAAAGTTCTGTATTCATAGTCTGCCTAATAATGCCCGTGGTGTAACAGGTAATTCCAAATGGGTATAGCCGGGGGCAGTTTTCTTCCTTTACAAAGAACACTTAGGTTCCATCCAGTAAAGACAATGTGTTTTTTGTTGCACACAGTTTCCAGTATTGTTCCAAGACTTAAAATTAAATAGAGCCGGGCGCTGGTGGCTCACGCCTGTAATCCTAGCTACTCAGGAGGCTGAGATCTGAGGATCGCAGTTCAAAGCCAGCCCGGGCAGGAGAGACCGTGAGACTCCTATCTCCAATAAACCACCAGAAAACCAGAAGTGGCGCTGTAGCTCAAGTGGTAGAGCGCTCGCCTTGAGCTGAAGAGCTGAGGGACAGCGCCCAGGCCCAGAGTTCAAGCCCCACGACCGACCCCCCCAAAAAAATTTAAATAGAAATTTAGATTACACTTATATATGAAGAATTTTTTTGAGGGGATGGGTGATACTAGGCAGGCACTCTACTGCTGAGCCACACAGTCCATTTTTGCATTGTTTGGGCATGCCACTAAGCTCAGTTTCTCCCATTGAGATGGAGTTGCAAAGATTTCTGTCTAGGCAGAGCTGGCCTCTTATCCAGTCTCCTAAGAATCTAGGACTAAGGACATGAACCACTGGTGTCTAACTTTTTTGTGGTTTATTTGGGGGACAAGGCAGTTGGTTGAGAGAAGTTTTTGTGATGTCTATATTAGACTCAGCCTTCCACTTGGCTAAAACTACAAGAATGTACCACCCTCTCACACTAGTTGTTTTGCTTTTATTCACAAGAGAATGTTTATTACCCTCAGTGCTAGGCTAGGGATCAAACCCAAAGCCTTCCAGCCAACCCTGACTGAACTATTTTCCTGCCTTAGCCTCCTAATAGTTGGAGTTACAGGCTTTTATCACATGTCAGAATTTGCTCCTCCACATACACCCCGCCCCCCATATGGTGGTGGGACTCAGGGTTTCACACTTGGAAGGCATGCCTTCAGCCCCTAAGGATTTGCTCTTTATGGTTGTACTATAGAAAAACATTCTTGAAGTATATCAGTATTTGTATTGATAGTTTCTAGAATAAAGAGGTTTTCTCAAACTGCCAGTGGTTCCCAAAGTTCTTACAAGAGAGGGTAGCTTCCTATAAATGTTCACATGGTGCCATGGGCTGAGAAACCGTAGAGGAAAGGCAGCCTAACCCTGTGAAACTTAGAAGGGGAATTGACCCAGACTCCCAAAGCCAGTGGAAAGGGCAAACTCACACTCTATGTTCCTTGTACCAAATACCTGGTGCCTTCAGGTACAGAAGCATTAAGATTTGGAGTTGTCATCCACTGGCCAACTCTAATCCGCACAGAAGTACAGGCAAAACTAGAAGTGCTCATCCCCCGAAAAGGGGAGATGACCTTTCTTCTCTCATCTCCCAGTTGAGAGAGGCTGGCAGTTGGGTAAGGGATTAACAAAAAGGATTTTCTTGTATATCCCAGTTGAAACCAGAGCCCCCATCTATACATCTGGTATTGAGGTTAAATCTCTCAAACCTAATAACTCTGCTATTTGCCTATGCTCATGTATTATCAGAAAGCAGAATTCTAGCTGGGTACATGCCTGTAATCCTAGCTACTCAGGAGACTAATAAGAGCCAGAAGATTGAGGCCCAAAATCCTAAAACTCCATCACCAAAATAATCAGCAAAAAACTATAACTGGAGGCATGGTTCAAAATGGTAGAGTTCAGTCATATGAGTAAGCGACCCAAGAAAGCTCAAGTTCAAATCCTGATACTGGCAAAAAAAAAAACAGATTTTTTTTTAATCACTTCTACAAACTCACCCAAACCAGGCAACAAAAGAAAAAAATCTTAGTTGCCTTCTGGAAAGCATTAAAAACATTAATTTGAAGATAAATTTTTGTCTTGAGAAATCAGTTAGTTATGTCCTGCTAGGTTGTAATTTCCTCAAGGACAAGGGACTGCCTTTGTCATCTCTAAAGCCCTGCCTCAGCAGGGTCTTTACCATCACTGTCAGAATACTTTAAACCAAAATCAGTGTTCATGCTGAAGTACTTTCTGGGTATCTACATAGTAGCTTTTCATTTTATTTTATGGTCTTACACATAAGCTAGCTCAAGTATTCTTAGAAGCAAAGGGATAATAAAATGGATCTTGAATTTGGGGTGTTTCTTTGTTTTGAAACTTCCTGGAAATCTGTTCTAAATAAATATCCCTCCTCTCCCGCCACCCCTATTTTCTTTTTCATAAAAATCATCACCAGGTATCCGTTACAGCACTGATGTGAGTGTAGATGAAGTAAAAGCCCTGGCTTCTCTGATGACATATAAGTGTGCAGTGGTGGGTAAGTGATCCTCTTCGTTGCTACTTAATAACTCTTGGACTATATGTTTACATATAAGGTTTATTTTTACATTTTAGAAATGTATCTTATCAGAACTGAATTTTTTTTGTTTTTAGTTACATACTAAGTCTTAAACATTTTTCAATTAGTCTTAATGATAAAACTTAGTTTTTAGTTAAAAGTTCATTTTAGAAGAGATTGATGTGAGTTCGGAAAGGGCATCTCACCTTTTTCTTTTTTCAGCTTACATTGGTTATATAGGGAGGGATTTCATTGTTACATTTCCATACATTCACATTTTTGTAATACAGGTTGAACATCTGTAAACATCTGAAATCCAGAGTGCTCTAAAATTTGAATTTTTCTGAACTCCAACATGTAGCAATTAGAAAATTCCATAATTGACCTTATACAATGGGTACCCAGCAGTTAAAGAGCAAGCATACTAACTATGTCATTCCAAATTTCCCATAGACTTCTGTGTCTTCATAAAACAGAATACACTTGTTTAGACTTGAATTCCATCCCCAAGATACAGCATTATATAGATGCAGATCTTTTTAAATCAGAAAGCTAAAAAGTCTTCTGATTTCAGATAAGAAATCCTCAACCTGGGGCTGGGAAGGTGGTTCAGTGGTAGAGTACTTGCCTTGCATGCATGAGGACCTGGATTCAATTCCTCAGCACCACATAAGCAGAAAAAGCCAGAAGTGGCACTTTGGCTCTTCAGCCTTGAGCTGAAGAGCTGAAGGTCAGTGCCCAGGCCCAGAGTTCAGGCCCCATGACTGGCAAAAAAGAAAAGAAAAAAAAGAAAATCCTCAACCTGTATTTTAACCTTTATAGAGTAACAACTTTTAGTCTCCTCTTCCAGATGTGCCGTTTGGGGGTGCTAAAGCCGGTGTTAAGATCAATCCCAAGAACTACACAGTAAGTAACAAAGTGACAGATATACACATACAATGCATTTACCAAAGAACTAGACATTTTGGATTTCTATGTATACCCTGTCCCAGTGAGATGAATGGTTTTTGATGATTTCCAGAAGCAGTATGAAAAAAGCAAATAATTACCTTATAGAGTGTGTTGTCATACAAAAAACTTAACTACTTACCAGTACCTTTTTTCATTTTCCTACTTTAATATATTCAGACACATCTATGATTTAAAACTATGATCTAACTTTTTAGTACATATATCTTTTAGGGAGCAAATATCTTAATTGTTGATCCTGTCAGTTCCAAGATAATTAAAATTGGTTTTTAGAGTGATCTACCCATTAGTAAATTAATGTTTTATATAAAAACATAATAAATACGTATCATTCTCTTTAAAACATATGATTTAAATGAGGATGTAGACATAGTTCACATGTTCCATATGAATATAATATATCATTTTGAGAGGGTCTTGATAAGTAACCCAGGTCCACTTCAGCCTCCTGAGTGCTGGGATTATAAATAAGCATGTGCCACCAAACTTGGCTGTATCATTTTTCAGTTAAGCTTGATTAAGGTTTAGTGTTTTTCTTTTTTTGGGGGGAGGGTCCGGTCATGGGGCCTGAACTCTGGGCCTGGGCGCTCTCCCTCAGCTCTTCAGCTCAAGGCTAGCGCTCTACCACTTGAGCCACAGGGCCATTTCCAGCTTTTTTCTTTTTGCTTATGTGGTGCTGAGGAATCAAACCCAGGGCCTCATGCATGCAAGGCAAGCGCTCTATCACTGAGCCACCTTCCCAGCCCCTAGTGTTTTTCTTTTAAGTGGTGAATAGGAACTGGTGATGAGTCCTAGTTCTGTCATCATTTTCCTAACCTTTTTGTTACATAGATTGAGTACAGAAGCTCATGCATGCTAAGCTCACCCTCATCCCCTATAATCTTATTTTTTATCCTTTTTTGTGCCTTTAAAATGGAAATATGTTGTGGTTATACAGAGGATTACAATAAGAAATACATGGAAATGCGCTGTGCTTGGAAAATATGAATAACCCTAAATGATTTTCTCCATTGTTTTATTATTGGTGTTTTCTCTCCCCCCCCACCCCTTTTTCTAGGATAATGAATTGGAAAAGATCACAAGGAGGTTCACCATGGAACTAGCAAAGAAGGGCTTTATTGGTATGTATTGCTATGTGCTTTTCTGTGTATAATGAGATTTACAAAGTAATTCTGATAAATCTTTTATGTGTGCCTCACCACACAGCCCTTTTTTACCTAAAAGCCAGGTTCTGTGATAGATATCATAGGCAGACATACTCAGACTCTTTATAACACATCCATAATAGGGAAGTTTAGGCTGTCAATGTACATGTCCTCTTCTTGTGCATGCCTCCTAAGTGTTTGAATCAGTATCCTCTCTGATAGCTTCTCTACTGAGCTAGTTGAAATGCTTAGGATGTGAAATACCGGAATTCATTTTTTAAAAAATTTATATGTAGAAATCAGTTTTTTTAAATAACCATCCTATCTTCCCAAAAGTGGGGAGGAATCCGATGCTTTTTGGAGTTACTGTTTTTAAACAGTATAGCTGTAGCTTTAAAGCAATAAAAATAGGTAGTGAAGCTAATGTGGTTCTCAACAACAATGCAGTTCTAAGTATACTTGTGCTCATTTGCTAGATATTTATTGTCTTACTGGCTAGTGTCTGTGTTTATACATTCTGTGTAAGATATGATTCTTTGCAATGTATAAATTTTCAAGCAATCTTAACTTTTGTGTGTGTGTGTGTGTATATGCAGCAGTCCTGGGGCTTGAACTCAGGGCCTGGACACTGTCCCTGAGTGGGCCACAGCTCCACATCCAGCTTTTATTGGTTAATTGGAGGAAAGAGTCTTATGGACTTTTCTGCCCAGACTGGCTTTAAACTGTGATCCCTAGAGCTCAGACTTCTGAGTAGCTAGCATTGCAGGCATGAGCCCCTGGTAACTGGCTTACTTATATTTTTTATATATGTTTCTTTTCTTGATCTAAAAAGCTTCTCACTTGCTTAAATAAGATAAAAATTAATAGAATGTTTGCCTTATTATACCTACACACACAACACTAAAAAAGACTAAAAACGAGTCCTTTTTTCTTTCCTGCCTTTGCTCTTTTTTTCCCCACATTCCCTTCACTTGCAAACTATTTCATATTTTGAAATTTGCCCCACTTTTAGAAAATTAAAGCATAAGGTAAACTACTATGGAAATAAAATAAATACAGCTAAAGCTAGAATTTTACAAGATTTGGCCTGAATTCCAAATTTTATTTATTATTTTTTTGGGTCCGGTCGTGGGGCCTGAACTCAGGGCCTGGGCGCTGTCCCTCAGCTCAAGGCTAGCACTCTACCACTTGAGCCACAGTGCCACTTCCGGCTTTTTTCTTTTTCCTTATGTGGTGCTGAGGAATCGAACCCAGGGCCTCATGCATGCAAGGCAAGTGCTCTACCACTGAGCCACCTTCCCAGCCCCATGAATTCCAAATTTTAGAAAGCATTTGGGTTCTCACCATTCCCCATAGCAGCAGGAACTTACGCATCCTTGCAAAGTAGAAGCATACTGACAGAGGCAGCATGTTCACTACCTCATCCACGCCTGTGGAAAAGCTCCCTAATTCTGATATGATGAATTGAAAGCATGTTTAGCTTCATGATGGCCTTCACTGATGTTTATATCTTATCTCTAAGCCTGAGAGTTTTAATAGCTTTGGTTTTAACCTTTATCCAGTCTTGATTATTGCTCACATTTAGAGTGTGTCCAGTGTAATTTAATGAATCTTGACCAGTAAGTTAAGTGACTGTGGAGACACTGAATGACATCAAAGTCTACATGTCTATTCTTTTGACTTTCCATAAACTGTCAGCTAATGATTCACACAATCTGAGTTATGAGACTGAATTCTGATTGTTTCATTTTATGACTTCAGAATCAGCTTGTCACAATCCTGGTGGAGTGACAGGTGCTGGAGGGAAGTGGAGCAGGTGGGGTTTTAATAATGAAGTTTTGAGTATGGACCAATTTGGGAGGTGTTGACATCATAACCATGTTTTCTTCCAATCTATGAGCATAGACTGTCTTTCCATTTATTGTGATCACTAACTTCTTTCAATAGTGTCTCATAGTTCCCAGTCTAGAAGGCTTAGAACTAAATATTTTCTTTATTTTGGTACAATTGTAAGAGGTATTTGGTCTGTAGTTTTCCTGTAATATCTTTTTCTAGCTTTGGTATCAAGGTGATATCAGCCCCATAGAATGAGTTTGAAAGTATTACTTTCTCTTATAATTTTTTGAAAAGTTTGAAATTATTTATTACCTTGTGTCAGACTGTAACATAGTGTGTATATACTGTGACATTTCCCTGCAGGTCCCTAGGTCTCCAACCTTCTCATCTCCTATGTCTACATATACCTTCGGTTCTTACCTTATACTCGTGTTCCTAGAGATGTTGATTTTTTTCAGAAAAAAATGGACTTTTGCCACAGACCTCTTTGTTAAATATTATAAATTCTGCAATTCAGGGACTACTTGCAGTCAGTAGTTACTTGTAGTTAATCCGCCACCATAGATTGATTTTTGTGAAGTAGAACATTCATAAACCCAATAGTACTTTGATTTTATGTTCAGTAGTGGAGGTTGTCTTTCTAAACTAATATTTTTTTTTTTTTTTGGTGATCATGGGGCCTGAACTCTGGGCCTGGGTGCTGTCCCTCAGCTCTTCAGCTCAAGGCTAGTGCTCTACCACTTGAGACACAGCACCACTTCCGGCTTTTTCTGTTTATGTGGTGCTGAGGAATCTAACCCAGGGCCTCATGCATGTGAGGAAAGCAGTCTACCACTGAGCCTCCTTCCCAGCCCTAAACTAATATTTTTATTTTTTTTTTATTTTTTGGGTCCGGTCGTGGGGCCCGAACTCTGGGCCTGGGCACTATCCCTCAGCTCTTCTTCAGCTCAAGGCTAGTGCTCTACCACTTGAGCCACAGCGCCACTTCCGGCTTTTTTCTTTTTGCTTATGTGGTGCTGAGGAATCGAACTCAGGGCCTCAGGCATGCAAGGCAAGTGCTCTACCACTGAACCACCTTCCCAGCCCCCCAGTTTATAATATTTTTAAGGACCAGTTAATATACTTTCTGAATCACAAACTATTTTAGGCTTGCCAATTGGAATTGTTGCTTTGAAACAACATGCTTATTCTTCATGTTGGTAGGAACAAGATTATCTCTAGAAATAGTAGTAGCAATGTGTCATTTGTCCCTTGCAAAAGAAATATTAAATAGAAAAATTGTACTAAGCTGCAGCTGCTGGGGTATGTCATTTTCAAGGAATGAAAGTGAGCAGCTAGGGTAAGTGGAGCCCTTTTGCCAGTGGAAGAGGCTAGAACAGGGTTTCAGTCTTTAAGTGGCAGTGCTGGTGGAGAGAGGGTGCTAGGGAGGGTAGATAGCATGAGATTTATAGGATTTCCTGTAAGAGAATTAAAAAATAGTTTAACCACTTTTAAAGTTGTGTTTTTAGAAAGAGTTTGTCTAATACAATTAACTATATAGTTGTAACTTTATAAGAAGGCTGAAATCCAAAGAAAATAGTAAATGACCTTGTCTTGAGAGGATTGGAGTGAGCATCACTGAACACATTTTCTCAGGGTTCACTCTGACCATCAGCATTAGAGCTGGCAGTGACCTGAGGAATTAAAGGCCAAGGCAGAGCATCATTCTAACACAAGTTATAGTTTTATGGGCACTAAATGATTGCTTCAACAACGATACTTCCCTGTTCTCAGGATGGTAAGGAGGAATAAACCAGTAACTGCCTGTTGCTATATACTTCATATGCATCCTCTTGCCATGATAATCCTGCTTATGTCAAGCAAAATGGTACTGGTATCTCTATTACAGTTTAGGGAACTGAATTTGGGAGACCAAATTGATTTGCCTGTGATCACACTCAGAACTCCCACAAGGTGGCTTCTGTCTATTGTGCATAGCTAGCTTCCAGACTTGTAAATGCTAGTAGGAGAAAGTGCTACATATAGAGAAACACGTAATAAGGATTTCTGTTCTTTCCTTACCTAAATGAGATCTAAACTTTTCTAGCCACAGTGACTTTGTTCTCTTAGAGAATTGCAAGGATTTTTGGTCTGGGGTAAGTTTGTCTTCAAAACTGGCGTACTGCCCTTTCCCTGTGCTCCCAGGTCCTGGCATTGATGTGCCTGCCCCGGACATGAGCACCGGCGAGCGGGAGATGTCCTGGATCGCTGACACCTATGCCAGCACCATAGGGCACTATGTGAGTATCCACTGGAGCCCCAAGGCTTCCTGCACTACTGTCCACAAGAAGTAATAATGCAGCTGATTGTATGAGAAATTGGGAATCTGGGTTCATCTCTTCCCTTTGAAAAATCATAAGCTTGCCATGCATATAACTTTGCTTTGCTTTTCTTTGTTATAAAACTATAAACATAGTGAACATAGGTTGAGCTGGGCCCTGGGGCTGGGACTGTCCCCAACTAGGGCAGTTCATTTCATGAGCTACTGAAATAGGTTATTTAAGAAATATTCTAAGGTGGGCCTGGTAGTGCGTACCTGAAATCTCAGCACTCAGGAGGTTGAATCCAGGAAGATCATGAGTTAGAGGATAATCTATTCTGACTCTAGAGCTTTCACTTAAAAGGAGCAGATAAGGTACGAGAATAGTATAATACATGAGTTATATAAGGCTGCTGTTTCTAAAAGAGGGATAAATCTTAAAAATGGGTTGGATTTGAACATCTAGGAATCTGGAAGATAAGAGGAATAGAAATGGTAGAGTTTAGAATCTGGCTTTGAGCCATAGATTCATTGGTGTGAGAGATAGATGAAAAGTATTAGCAATGTCCCTCAGGAAAGGGGTTGGAGGTGAACAGGGCAGGTCTTTCAAGAGCCCAAGTGGAAAGATAGGTCTTGGAGAAGGAGAAACAGAGAGGTATCGTGTATTTCCTGATAGAATATCACTCAGTGACATCCTGTGGCCAGGAGCTTGGGTAGTAATAGTTATACCTTTGTATAAATACTACTTCATAGTTTACATGGGGAATTATCTAGTACACTTAGAACTATCCACAGTGCTTAGTAAACACTAAAAATAAGTATAAATTTTACATCTAGTCAATGGCACATATCCATTGAAATAAACAGGAGCAGTATTAGATACATCAGAGAATCTTGGTATGGACCACCATTCCCAAAAGGACCACTTCCATATGTCACCTTTTAATATTAAATGAGCTCCACTTTGGGTTGGTTGGCTGGTAGGTTGGAGTATAATGCTGAGGCTTGGATGTAGGGTTTCACACTTGCTAGGCATATGCTCTTCCTCTTGAGCTACACCTTCAACCCTTAAAAAGCTTTGGCTGTGTTTGAGATAGTGTCTCACTCTTGCCCTACCTGGCTTGGACCAGACCATAATCTTCTTAATTACACTTCCTGTTGGAGCTGGGATGGCAGGTGCTCTTTGCCCTACCCATTGTTTTCTGACAATGGGGTCTCTCCATCCTTTTTGCCTAGGCCGTAAACTGCCATCCTTTCAGACTGAATCTCTAAGTAACTAAGTTTATAGGCCACCTCACCCTGCATTGAGAGGATTGTAAACTAATAGCATTATTACTTGTAGTTTTCACAGTGATGGCAGCACAAGAAAAGTTTACAAGGCATTGTCAGCTAAACTGTACTAATAAGAGACCTTTCTTCAACTGATAGGAAATTGAAAGTCCAGGCCTATATAAGGAAGTCAGATTTTTTTTGGGGGGGTGGGGGAGGTTTGGGGTTTTTTTTTGTTTTGTTTTTTATTGTGAGGAAGTCATGGTTTTGATTACTCATTTTTAGACTAGAGCCCTGTCCTCTTGGCAGTGCAGCATGGAAGAGTGGTGCTATCTCCCTACCTCCCAAGGTTCTAGGACCATTAGGTATGCTAGTGAGCCTGGCAGCTGGCACCAGGCCTGTTCTCAGACAGTATTTCCTTCAGCCTCAGCATTTGCATTTCCACTGTTCAGAAGCATTTGGCAACTTACAAGGCTTGCAGTTAAGTTTTAATTATTCATGAAAGGAAACTGTGGGAAAACTACTGTTTCTATAGTGCTTTATAAGACTGTCCATTTTAACCTCCTTCCTTTCTGTTGGTAATTATACAGGTTCTCTATGTAAAAATACTTGATGAATATAAAGACCAGGTCACTAACTCTCCAGCCATAGCATAATATTGGGGATAGAAATGTGATGTGGCACTAGGCACTGCACATGATCAGTGGTAGCAAGTTGCCTCAATCCTCTGCCGATAGGGGGATGCCTCTCCTCTCTAGTTCATGATCCATGTGTCTGTTCCAGTCTTCTGCTTGCCATGTTTGTAGTAGGTGTGATGCTTTGAAGGAAACCTCCTTCCTTTCTTATAATTAAACCTAATTTTGACCAAGAGTATACATGTACACCCAGAGTGGAAAGAGGGCCAAGAGATGAGTGGTAAAAGCTCAAGCAAATTGATGATGCCTCTCGCTTTGCAGAGCTAATGATGCTAGCCAGTGATACTGGCACCCACACTGGCACAGTCCTCAGTATCTTGCCCACATATACCTTTTTAAACATTCTTAAATACTTTCCTCCTCTCTTTTAAATAAACTTAAGTATCTTTCCAAGTTCCCTTTTTAAAATAGAAGAATAGCTTGTCAGAAGAACGCAGTATTTCTGAATCTCCCCATCCAAGAAAGCTGCACATTGCCTCTTCCTGTCTCTAGCTGATTTGGTGATATAGTCAAGTCTCATGGTAGATTAAGACCAGTGGAATGTATATACCTTGACTCAGAATGACTTGTGCTCCATTGAAATAATAGCTTCAGGTTGAATGTGCCTACTTTTATAATAATTGGTTATTGCATTTGATACTAATATCTAAACTCTTATTTTCTCCTGGCAGGAACTTTTTATATTTTCTAGAACAGGAAGTTGAAAAAATGAGGCCTGTCCCTATTAGTGAATTGTGCTTTAGATATATGCATACTTACAGACATGCAAGCACTTGGCACTACACCCTTTTTCTTTTCAGCTTTTTGAGGTCTCACTAGGCCTCCCAAGCTGGCCTCAAACTCTCAAGTTCTTCCTGCCTCAGCTTCGTAAGTGCTGGGAATACAGGTGTGTGCCACCATGTCACCCTTTACACATTTTGTTTGATATTTTGAGACAAGGCCTTACCATATATCCTAGACAGGTCTTGAACTTAGAAGCCTCCTGTTACACATTTTTTCATGAGAGTATTTTTTGTGAAATGAGAATGTGCTTTGACTTCAGTTGGTTGATCGTAGGACTTGAGTTACTTCCTTCTTTAAGTCATGCCTCCTCTTGCAGGATATTAATGCACATGCCTGCGTTACTGGTAAACCCATCAGTCAAGGTGGCATCCACGGGCGCATCTCTGCAACTGGCCGTGGTGTGTTCCATGGGATTGAAAATTTCATCAATGAAGCTTCTTACATGAGCATTTTAGGGATGACACCAGGATTTGGGGATAAGACATTTGTTGTTCAGGTAAAAAAAAAAAAAAGGTTTATAATTTACATTTTTTTAATGTTTATAGATTTGTAGCTTTAAATTTTATTCTTTTGAATCTTTTAGGTTTTTAGTGTGGTTGTTTCCTGTATAATACATCCTTTTCCTTTAACCTTGGTTTAATTCATCTCCCTTAGATACTTGTGAATTATTTTTTTATTTCTTTATATATTAGTTGTATCTTAGGGACATAACAGTTGTGAATGTGCAGAAAAGTTTGTCCATTGGCTCAGAATTATCTGATATGTGAATCTAAGGGACTGCAAATTAAAATGAATGATAATTTAAAATAGAGATTGTATTCCTCTAACCTAGTGACATACCTTTATACAGCCATAGGAACCACTGGTCATTGGAGAATGACCACAGTGGAGTAGTCATTACTATGGAATGAGAAACCATAGGAGTACATTGGTCAGACTATGATCCATGCCAGGCGCCGATGGTTCACACCTGTAATCCTAGCTATTCAGAAGGCTGAGATCTGAGGATCGCAGTTTAAAGCCAGCCCAGACAAGAAAGTCCGTGAGACTCTTATCTCCAATTAACCACCAGAAAACCAGAAGTGGTGCTGTGGCTCAAGTGGTAGAGCACTAGCCTTGAACTGAAGAGCACAGTGACAGCATCCAAGCCCAGAGTTCAAGCTCTACGACAAACCAAAAAAAAAAAGATTCATACAAAGCCTTTTTATGTCATCTATGATTGTTCTTCACAGGGATTTGGTAATGTGGGCCTGCACTCTATGAGATATTTACATCGTTTTGGTGCTAAATGTGTTGGTGTTGGTGAATCTGATGGGAGTATATGGAATCCAGATGGTATTGACCCAAAGGAACTGGAAGATTTCAAATTGGTATGTTAATCTAATTTCTAGAACAGTTTGATTGCCCTTAGCCTTATCTTATTTAAACCTATTCCCATTGCTCTTTTTTCAATTATTAATACAGTTTTAAAAGCTTTTAATGAATACATTTTTATGTAGTAGGCACAAAATAAAGCCATCTAGACTTTGGAACAGGCATTAATTCTGTTTTTCAATCAATTACAGCAACATGGATCGATTCTGGGCTTCCCCAAGGCAAAGGTCTATGAGGGAAGTATCTTGGAAGCCGACTGTGACATACTGATCCCTGCTGCCAGCGAGAAGCAGTTGACCAAGTCCAACGCACCCAGAGTCAAAGCCAAGGTGCAAGCATTACCATTGTCTTATAAAATTAGGGTGATCTGAGTAAAAAATCTCATTTTATTAACATCTTTATTGGTGGCATATACCATAAATCCTACACATTTAAAGTACTCTCATAATTTTCAGTATGTTCAGAGTTGTGCAACTTCCAAAATGTAAGGAAGAAAAATAGAGACAAAATTAGCATTATATACTCATAAATTTAGTACAGCAAAATAACTTGTAAAGTTTAATTAAAATTATGCTTTTCCTCTCATCCTCCTATCCACACCTCTTGCCCAATGACTATGTTCCTGGCATTTTTCATCTGTCCCTGACTCTTGCAGATCATTGCTGAAGGTGCCAATGGACCGACCACTCCAGAAGCTGATAAGATTTTCCTGGAGAGGAACATCATGGTTATTCCAGTAAGTTATCTATGTTCAACAGTATCTGAAACCATAAGTGTCTTTCACTAGGAATTAATTAGGAGAGAAAAGGCCTGCTTGTTTCCCAGATTGTGTTAAGTTTGTTTTCCTTTATTTTGAGAAAATAAAGTGAATCAAGCATGATGGTTCATGCTTCTAATCTCAACACTTAGAAAGCTGAGGCAAAAGGATAGTGAGTTTGAGACCAGCCTGGGCTACATAGTAAGATCATGTATCAAAAAATAAAGGAAAAACTACTGTGAGGAGCATGTGTTCATGGTATGTCATTGGAAGTAAGTGTGGACAGAGGATACATTTTGAAGGGCCTCTTTACTGGTTAACTGGACTTGTGTGTCTCATGGACCTTTCTTCTCTGGGCTGGCTTTGATACTCAGATCTCAACCTCCTGAGTAGCTAGGATTATAGATGTGTGCCACAGGTACTCAGCATGTTCATGTTCGTATTTCTTTGTTGTCACAATTTGTGTATAGGATCTCTACTTGAATGCTGGAGGAGTGACAGTGTCTTACTTTGAGTGGCTGAAGAATCTAAATCATGTCAGCTATGGTCGACTGACCTTCAAATATGAAAGAGATTCTAACTACCACTTGCTCAGTGAGTTCCTATATTCTTGTTCTCCAGAAATAATAATGTGGGACAGTTAAAAGGCTGGAAAAAAAATCATATGCTTCATTAACTATTCAATGTATTGACTGATATATTTTACTAAGATTTTTATATTACAAAGTAATATTCCAGAATGTAATCTGCAAGATAATATTGTTTGTTTTTATAAGTCTTTTAAGCATCAACCTTTTATCATTGAAATTCATCCACTTCTATCTCTGGTTGCTCCTCGAAAAGTTCTGAAATGTTTTGAGTCCTCTGATGTGAATACTTGTTTTTGTCTAAGTAAAGTCAGCTCCACAGTTAAGAGGAGAATTTCTCATCAGGCTGAAATGAGACTGGGGCCTCCAGCTGAGCTCCTGTACTTGGTCACTGAGAAGCTGGCAAAGTGTCCATTGATTGCCTTTTCTTTTTCCCCAGCATTTTCTTTTTAGTAGAACTAAAGGAAACCTCTGGTAATGGGTGTTATGGAAACAGAGCAGTGACCTAAATTCACATTTACGCAGGAATTTGGCAGTCTTGTGTTCCTTTCTGAGTTTTTAATGATTAACCCTTCCATGTCATTCGTGCTAAGGACCTAAAACTATTGGTTTAGGGTTATGGATATAGTTTGGGGCTACTTTGAGTTCCTACTATTTCTCCCTTCCTCTACCAGCAGCATCTTACCTTGATCTCTTGGCTTTTTATAGTGTCTGTTCAAGAGAGCTTAGAAAGAAAATTTGGAAAGCATGGTGGAACAATTCCTGTCGTGCCCACAGCAGAATTCCAGGACAGAATATCGGTGAGTCTGGCACTTCACATATATTCAGTCACAGATGGTAACACAAAAACTATAGCACTCAGTGATGTCCCCCATGACCTCCTTCTTCCCAGAACCACAACTCTCTTAATTCCTGCTCTCTGGCTGGAAAGCCTGATTCCCATGTACAACTGTGCCTTTTCTTTTACAGTCTTTGCTGCATGCCAGAATTTAGGGCATATTTCCATCATGAGTGACTGGCAGTGCAATGAGAAGGCTTTTGGCTGGTTATTTAAGGATGGAATCCCGTGGACTTTTCTGCTGACAACAAGTACATGGACTTTGTTGCCCAGGCTGACTTCTTCCTTCAAACTGTGATCCTCCAGATTGCAGCCTCTTGAGTAGCTAGGATTATAGATATCCACCAGTACCCAGCCTTCTCCCCTCCCCCCCCCCCCCTTTTTTTTTTTTTCTTTTGCCAGTCCTGGAGTTTGAATTCAGGGGAGTTTGGGCACTGTCTCTGAGCTGCTCTTGCTCAAAGCTAGCACTCATTCACTAAGCCACATTCCCAGCCCCATTCTTTCCCCTTTTTTTTAAACAATCTTTGGTCAACTTACTGGTCTTTCAGTGTTTAAATGATTTTGTATCCTCTGGTTTTAGACTTGTAGTGCTATATTTCACTCTCATTGATTTCAAGGAGTCTTAGCAGTCAAAAATGCATTTTTTAACTGCATGTTACCATGCATCTATAGTCCAGTACTATGGTGTTATGTAGGGAGTCTGGCCTAGGTTTTGGTTAGTGAAACCCTGCCTCAGAAAACAAAAAACTGCCAGCTTCACACCTGTAAAGCCCAGCTACTCAGGAAGCAAAGATCAGTTCAAAGCAAGCCTAGGCAAAAAGTAAGATCCCATTATAAATAATAAACTCAGGCATGGTGTACACACCTATGATCCTGGCTACTTAAAAAGTCAAAGATCTTAGTTGAAGGCTGGCTCCAGACAAGACTGAGACCTTACTAGGAAACTAAAAACAGGTTGGGTGTATGGTAGAGCACTTAAGCAAATGGAAAATCTTGGATTCAACCTCATACAGCCCAAAAAGAAAAAAACTTACCCCCAGCTAAAGGGTTGCATCCCATTTTCTGACCTAATATCCTCACAAAGTGCTACCCCCAGCTAAAGGGTTGCATCCCATTTTCTGACCTAATATCCTCACAAAGTGCTCGTACTTCTCTCACTAAGTTCCATGCTCCATCATTATTAACTGATCATTTTGTTTCATATAGGCAACACAACACCGGGCTTGAATTCTCTGCCTCCTCCATGCCACTGCCTCTGTATTTGCCAGCCTTGCCAGCACTTAAATCCTGACCTCTAGCCCCAGGTGGTGCTCAGGAATCAGATTCCTCTCTTCTCTCTCACTGATTGCACTGTGTTCCTCCTCACCTTTCCTTCCTCTTGCTCTCCAGCTTATGAGCAACTGTCTTATCATGGGGAAAGTAGAAGCAAGCCAAGAACTTGTGCATATCCACCCTGTTCCTTTTCCCTATCCTTACTTAGGCCATCTTCTCTTGTGGTAGATCAGATGTTTGTGCTTCTAGTTAAGCTCAGCTCTTGTTGTATGCATTGCATGGCCTGTCTCTAGCTTCTCAGATGTGTTGTTAAGTCTTGCCCTCTTTACACATCAATTTTTCCCTCTATTGAGTCATAGAGTATCATATGCTGTTCCAAAAACATGCATCTTAATCCCACCTCTTCCAATTACTGCCATTTTATTTCTCTCATATATATATAGTGTCTTCTATTCATTTTGCCAGTAAAGGATTCTAACTGGGGGCCTCATGCTTGCTCAGTTGACAGTGCTGGCTACAACTTGAGCCATGCCTCCATCACAGCCTTTGGCTGGTTATTTTAAAAGATAGTGTCTGGCAATTTTCTGCCCAGAGATAGACTTTTCTTCCCAGACAGGTGTCGAATTATCCTCTAGATTTTAGCCTCCTTCCTGAGTAGCTGGTATGGGCCATCAGTAGCAGGCTTCGTTTTTCTGTTCTTGAGCCAGTGCCAACCAGCTGTTCTTGCCAAAGGACCCAGTGACATCAGCATCATCCAGTCCATTGACCACTTTTCAGTCCTCATCTGAACCAGACTCATCAGCAACTCATCTCACTATTAATTGATCACAGCAACCTGGAGATGTTGGCATCTCTTAGCTCTCAGGACACCACATTCTTGCTATCTTTCCTTCCTGTTTGCTAATTCTGCTTGCCTTTTGCTCATTTTCATTGGGAGGCCTTAGTACCTGAGCCTTTACCTAGATTCAAAATGCCTCATGGTTTTAAGTCCATGTATATGCATTAACCCTCACCCCACTAGAATGTAGGCTCTATGCAAACATTTTCTTCTCAGCTGTGTCCCTAATACCAGAAAGAGCCTGGCATATAGGAAGTACTCAGTTAATGTTTGAGTGTATGAATCAATCAACCAATGAAACAGTAGTATTCAGCATACAGAGGAAGTTTTCTTTTTCCCTAATTTAACAGACCAAAACAAAGTTTAATGCAAAAGTTATATAAGTATACCTTCTCAAATGAATACAGTATGTCATCAAGATGTTCAATACAGATAACTTTGTGTTCAAAACAGATAACTCTTTATAGCTGCATATGTTACATTAAGAGTGGTAGTTGTAGTTACTTACCTTTAAATTTCATAGAAAGCTTTTCAAGATAAGTCTATTCAAAGAAATTAGTCTATAGGTTTAATTTGTATAGGAAAGAGATAAGCTGACTTAATGGGGTTGGAGGTCATCTATAACCTTCTCTAGCCTGTCTGTTCCTCATTAGTAAAATTAAAGGGTTGCTAAGATCTTTTGGTTCTACCCTAGAACTGTAGCGTTAGCAAGATTCCTTCCTGTGTCCTGTCCAGAGTTGCTGTTCACCTGGAAAACTGAGGTGAATGCCATAATGAGTTAGAGGTGCTAATCTTGCTACTTACCCTCAGGTTTCTTGGCTATAGTCTTCCGTTTCAGTGTTTTACCATGATCTTACTTAATGAGTATTGCTTTCTATCCAACATCATTAAAACTAAATTGTGGTTAAAATGTAGCTGCTTCAATGAAGAAATTATGAAGATACTATGAAGATAGTATGTAGGTCAGTGGTAAAGCATTGGTCTAGCATGCCTGAGGCCTGGGTTCCATTCTCAGTACCAAAAAGAAAAAACATATTGTATCTTGATACTGTACAGAAATTACAAGTCTTTATTGAAAAGAAAAGAGTATTTTAAGAGTCCTTGGTAATCAGCTGGTCACTAGTGGCTTGCACCTATAATCCTAGCTACTTGGGAGACCAAGAATGGAAGGATCACTGTTCAACAAGGCCAACCTAGGCAGAAAGTTTATGAGATTCTCCTTCTCAATCCATAACCGAGTACTGTAGCAGCTGCCTGTCATCCCAAGCTACATGAGAGACTAAGACTAGGAGGATCACTGATGGGTCACTGGCCTGGAGGCCAGCTAGTGCAGAAAAATGACATTACAAGAGGGACTAACTTACTCCAAGGAATGAAGCTAAACACAGTGGCACATACCTGTGATCCCAGCAACAAAGAAAAAACACCTGAAGAAGGTGTATGACAGCTCTGGTACATGCCCAGGCAGGAAGTGACACCCTGTCTCAAAACTAACTGGCATGGAGCTGGGTAGTTGGCTCAGTGGTAGAGTGCTTGCCTTGCATGCATGAGGCCCTCGGTTTGATTCCTCAGCACCACATAAGCAGAAAAAGCCGGAAGTGGGGCTGAGGCTTAAGTGGTAGAGTGCAGGTCTACAGCTGAAGAGCTGAGGGACAACGCCCAGGCCCAGAGTTCAGGCCCCACAACCAACAAAAATAAATAAATAACTGGCATATGCAGGGTGCCAGTGGCTAATGCTATTCTGGAGACTGAGATCTGAGGATAACTGTTGAAAGCTAGCTCAGGCAGAAAAGTCCATGAGACTCTTTATCTTAATTAACTGCCAAAAAAAAGCCAGAAGTCGATAGAGCTGTGGCTCAAGTGGTAGAGTGCTAACCTTGAGCAAAACAGTTCAGGAACAAGCTGGGCACTGGTGGCTCATGCCTATAATCCTAGCTACTCAGGAGGTTGAGATCTAAGGCTTGTGGTTCAAAGCCAGCCCAGGCAGAAAAGTCCGTGAGACTCTTACCTCCAGTAAACCACCAGAAAACCAGAAGTGGTGCTGTGGCTCAAGTGGTAGAGCATTAGCCTTGAGCTGAAGAGCTCAGGGACTGCTACCAGGCCCAGAGTTCAAGACACAACAACAGCAACAACAAAAACGGTTCAGGGACAGTGCCCAGATCCAGAGTTCAAGGCCCAGGACCAGCAATGGATGGATGGATAGGACAGGACAGGACAGGATAGGATAGATAAAACCAGCATAAAACAAAATTGGATATGTGGCTTAAATAGTAGAGACCCAGCCTACCAGGGTCAAGGCCCTGAGTTCAAGCTCCAGCCAAAAATGAAAAAAGACTGAATCCTTCTAGAGACACAAATCAAGTCTTTGTATGATTTTGTTAAAGTTGTGTTCTTTTTCCTAACAGGGTGCATCAGAGAAAGATATCGTGCACTCTGGCTTAGCCTACACCATGGAGCGGTCTGCCCGGGTAGGTATGCAGATGGCGTCTGCTTTCTGCTCAGCTGTTATCTCTGGACAGATTGTGTGTGGTGAAAGAAAGCAAACACCAATCTGGTACATGATCCACATTTATGTGCAGTAGATTTATGCCTGTTCACACTCAGAGAACTGTTGTCAGCCCTCAGATAGGTCTCTCAGCCCTCAGCAATAAATCAGGCTGAATTAAAAAGGAATGCTTGGTAGTTGGCTAAATACTGAATAACCAAATAGACTGAAATGCTGCTCCGTCTTTCACAACATGACTGTTGTAGGAAGCTATCTTACTATAGAATTTGATATAAGTAAGGATTTTTTGACTATTCAATTCCTATTTCAGACAAGGCCAAAAATAAGTGAGTCTAATTTTTCTAATTCCTTCTTGAGCTCAGATTCTCTCATTGGATCTCCAAGTTGGAGTAGCATGAACAGATACTGATAAAGAAAGCTGTGCTTTGTTTTGACAGTTCTTTTTTGAGATCTGATTAAAGTGTTATAAATCCAATCACATACTGTGGCTCACACCTGTAATCCAGCTACTCAAGAGACTGAGAGCTGGGATCTCTGTTCAAAGCCAGCCAAGGCAGGAAAATCTGTGAGACTCTTATCTCCAATTAAACACAAAAAGCTTCAAGTGAAGCTGTGGAACTCAGTAAGAGTGCTAGCAAAAAAAAAAATAAAAGCTCAGAGACAGCACACAGGCCCAGAGTTCAAGCACCAGTACTGACACAAAAAAATTAAAAATAAACATAAGTCCGTCCTTTCAGTGTATGCAATCCACAAGCCTTTCATATATTCACAAAGATGTGAAGCCATTGCCACATTCTTGGTTACTTTGAACAGTCATTAGTATAGGTATGAACTCATTCCAGCTAACTGGATGCCTAATGGACAGAGAGATCACAGGGTGACTTCTTGGCTGCTGCATAGATAATAATCATTCATATTCTATAAGATTAGTCCTTCCTGCCTAGAGGGAAGTCTGTTGCCACAGAAGTTTTCTTTGGCCACCAGCACTTCCTTGATCCCTCTGTGTACTTTGTATGTCATGTCCCAGCTTACATAAGTCATGTGGTCTTCTCTGCCTTTTCTTCCTTATTCTAGCAAATTATGCGCACAGCCATGAAGTATAACCTGGGCTTGGACCTGAGAACAGCTGCCTATGTCAACGCCATTGAGAAAGTCTTCAAAGTGTACAATGAGGCTGGTGTGACTTTCACATAGATGGATTGTGGCTACGTTCCTCACCCTCTTCACCCATAACTTCTGCCGACCTATCACAAGTTTACATGTAACCACAGAACTCTCTCTCTCTTATGACTCATTAGGTAATGGACACTGTTCTCAACAAGTCAGTCTGAATCAGCCCCTTAAGAAAGAAACTAAATTTAGAGGATCATGTACAAATGGAATGTGAAAGTATAAATCACTTAAGCTAGAAAACCATTTAGAAATTTTGCCTTTTAATAAAAAGTCTCTCCCACCTGGCTTTGCTGCCTCATTCCAGGCTCTTCTCACAGAGTCAGTGCTGCTGCCAGGAAGGGCATCAGGAGCAGCCACCTACTACTTTATCTCCAGACAAGCCTGGGCACATGACTCTGACACATGGAAGAAGTAGTACATGGCATTTTCAGAAAGTGGCATGGTCCTCAAGTGAGTTAACTGGTATTGCACATCAGCAAAACCAGAATGAAAGCTGTTTCTCCTAAGAACATGCTGCTGTAATATTGCCTTTAATTAACAAGCCTAACTTGACTCAAACAGTGAAAGCCTATAAACATAATAAATGATGAAAGCTAGTATTTTTATAACATAAAACAGTATCATTTGTAGTTTATCAGTCATATATTACTGTCCAGCAAAAATAGTCCTACAGAGACCTATCTGCAAATGAGGGAGGCTATTTTAGAGAATTTGCTAAATAACTACAATTACGACACATAGTCCAAAGAATACAGTAACTTCCTTATCATGTTAGTTGTTCCCTTTTGAAGAGCTTCTGTTGTGTAATTGAACCATAATTGAAGTAGAATGTTCCAGAAAAGAGGGGGAAAAAAACATTTGAGCTCCCTTTGGAGTCTGATGGAGTCTGAACCCTTCCAGTGAGTGGCTTGACCCGTGTCCTCCTTTTAGAGACTAATCATGCTGCACTTGGCTTCAGCAGCAGGCTAGAAACAGCCTGAGGTTGAGTGTTTGGTTTGGGGATTACTTGGTCGAGTCCTTTTGAACAGTAGGGGTCCCAATGAATTACTAGATACTATTTATGTAAAAATGAACACTTTTTTTTTAACCATATCCTTTCAAATTTCTAACTACTTTGTAACTGCATGACTTAACCTGGTGATAAAAGTTATTAAAAGCCTACCTTTTTAAAGCCTATGTTTCCTTTCTGTGGTTTTTAATACTGATTATGAATAGACAATAAATCTTTAATTGGGGTTAGCAACGCCTATGTAACTTTGCTATTCACTATATTATGAGCTGCTCAAATTTTATTTCTGTGCCACTCACACTTCATTTTACTAAACAGTATCAGCATCTGTAATGCTTAAAGCTGACATACTAAGAGTGATTTCTAGTGCCTTTTAAATTAAGGGAGTTTGGAATGACTTAGCCACCGAGTGTAACAGCCTTGTAAGAATACTAGCTGTAATCAGCAGAGCAGGGTCCTATGCTAGAGTTTATCAGCTAAAGTGCCCAGTGTGCGTGTAACTTTCACTGGATTCTTTGGCTTTCACTGCTCTCCCTCTGTACTCCTAGCCAAGGCAGTCAGATGGGCAAGCCTGGTAGCACTGGGATGTAGCCGTTCCTGGACACTTCGTGTCTGTCTGCTCTTTAGGTAAAGTACTGAAGTTTGAAAGGATGCTGAGTGAGGCAGATGTTTCACCCCACCCGAAGTGTGGTGATAAGTCTTAGTCATGCCCTGAGCTAAACATCAGGAATATTGATCGTGAGGGATTTACTAATATTCAAGTTAGAGAAGTGAATTGTCTAAGGAATGGAGTCTTGATGGGTAAAAGAGGAGTCTTGATGGGTAAAAGAGAAATCTTGTCCTTGCCAACAATACAAACACAAGATAGCACTACTGCCCCAACAACTTAAAATTCTTCTAAAGCCTCGGACATAATGCTCTTAATTTCTTCTAAAATAGCCTTAAACCACTTAGCACCTGAAAATTTCTTTTTTTTTTTTCAGTCATAGGGTTGAACCCAGGACATGGGCACTGTCCCTGAGCTCTTATAAGTCCCATGTCAGGAAATATCTTCATTTTCTGGTTGATTAAATTTAGGAAAAAGGGGGCTGGGAAGGTGGCTCAGTGGTAGAGTGCTTGCCTTGCATGCATGAGGCCCTGGGTTCAATTCCTCAGCACCACATAAGCAGAAAAGTCCGGAAGTGGCGCTGTGGCTCAGGTGGTAGAGCACTATCCTTGAGCTGAAGAGCTGAGGGATAGTGCCCAGGCCCAGAGTTCAGGCTCCAGGAGCAACTCAAAAGAAACAGGAAAAAGTGCTTTTGACTAGCAGTGTCTCATAGGATAGAGAACCTAGTTAGCGAGCTAGAAGCCCTATGTTCAAGCCCTAGTACTACCAAAAAGAAGTGCTTTGGACAGCAAATTCCATATTCCTAAGGCCTTAGCGCTGCTATTTAATCAAATATCCCAGGCATGGCTGTATGGACCTTGTACAAAAGTCTGGAGGGTTGCTTTGTAGTTTGGGTATTAGATTGTTCAATTTATTTTCACAGATCACTTTCATTGACTTTTTGATCAAACTGACACATATGGATATGCAGTTTCTCAAACCCAGCCCTCGTAACATTTTATGTTGGTCATTTTCCCTGTGTGGGGAAGCAGGACTGTGCTGTCCCTTTAAGAATGTTTAACACTACTCTGAGCTCTGTCTAGAAGATTCCAGCAGTGTTCCTAACATAGGATCATGTGTTTTCCAACAGATGGGGAGGCCCATGCTTGTGTTCTCAGGAGGCTGAGGCAGAAGGATCAACAAGATCAGTTACATAAGCAAGACCCTGCAGGGTCATTACATGCAGCCATTCCTTGTTGAGAATTCTGATCTAGACCCCGAAAGTGCTTTCAAGGTTTCTTGTAAACAATAGCTTATTGCCTCCAGTCTGTACATCTTCACCCTCTTTCACTTCCAAACATAACCACTTTGACAACTATATTCTCAATTTTCATTCTATTCAAATCCTTTTCCCATTTTGTAACAGTTATCTCTTGTTAAATTGAGTCTATAGGTACTTGACCTTTGGGGGATGTATGCTTTGCAAATATTTTTCCCTTTGTCGGTTTTCTTTTGCTGCCCTTTTCATTTGAAACCTCCAATTTAGCTGAGCACCAGTGGCTCCTCACTATTATAATCCCAGCTACTCAAGAGGTTCTGATCTCAGGATCATGGTTCAAGCTGGCCTGGGCAGATAAGCCAATGAGATTTATATCCTTTTAACCAGCAAAAAGCTGGTTCAAATGGATCAAGTGGGAGAATACTAGCTGTGAATAAAAAAGCCAAACAGCAGCAGGCTGAGTTCAAACCTCTAAACTGGCACCAAAAGATAATAGTACAGACTTTTCTTTGATTGCTGTACCTGTAGTATAGTAAGAAATCGCTACGTAATTCAAAGTCACACAGCTGTTCTAAGAATTTTATAGTTACAAAATTGTGTGTGTGTTTAATTGGAGATGAGAGATTTAAGGGCCAGGCACCAGTAGTCTAAGCTATTCAGGAGGCTGAGACCTGAGAATCAAAGTTCAAAGCCAGCTGAGGCAGGAAAGTCCAGCAGACTCTAATCTCCAATAAACTACTAAGAAAAGACCAAAAGTGGCACAATGGCTAAGTGGTAGAGCAAAAAAAAAGCTCAGAGAACAGCACCCAGAGTTCAAATGCCAGGACCAGCAAAAAAAAAAAAAAGTCTCAGGGACTTTCTTGCCTAGGCTACCTCTGAATTTGTGATCCTCAAGTCTCAGCCTCTTGAGTGGCATGAGCCACGGGTGCCCAGCCCAACATAAAAGATTTTTTTTTTTTTTGTCAATCATGGGGCTTGAACTCTGGGCCTGGATGCTGTCCCTGAGCTCTTCAGCTCAAGGTGAGCACTCTACCACTTGAGCCACAGCACCACTTCTGGTTTTCCGGTGGTTAATTGGAGATTAACTTTCCTGCCCAGGTTGGCTTTGAACTGCAATGCTCAGATCTCAGCCTCCTGAGTAGCTAGGATTTACAAGCATGAGCCACTGGCACCTGGCCATAAGAGATTTTAGAGGTATTTTGGGAGAATCAAAATGGTGAATCACTGAAATAATGGCTGCTAAAATAAGTGGGTAAATTAGTAAGCTAGCAGAAGACACCACTGAAAGCAATGTAAAGACCCAGGAACTCATGGCTTATTACAGAATGAGGCTGAAAATTGTAGTTTTATAATATGTAGGAGAGATAAAGAACAACAACAAAAAAAATCGTGAGTGAGGCCAGCATGGGTAGGAAAGTCTGTGAAAGACTCATTTCCAATTAACTACCAAAAAGCCAGAAGTTGAGCTGTGGCTCAAGTGGTAGAATGCTAGCCTTGAGTAGACAAAGCTAAGGGATAACACCTGGGCCATGATTTCAAGCCCAGTACCAATACACACACACAAGACAGAAAATGAACACACACACACACACACACGAGACAAAATGAAAACACACACAAGAGACAGAAAATGAAAATTACCAGGCTTTTTTTTTTTTTTTCTGGTCCTGAGGCTTGAACTCCATCTGGGCACTGTCCCTGAGCTACTTTTGCTCAAGGCTAGCCTAGCTCTACCACTTGAGCCACAGTGCTGCTTCTGGCACTCACAGACTTTCCTGTCTGGGGCTGGCTTCAAACTATGAGATCTGAGGTGCTCAGATCTCAGCCTCCTGAGTAGCTAGGATTACAGGCCTGAGCCACCAATGCCTGGCTAACCAGGCTATTTCTTAAAAAGAAAACATTGATTTAAGAGAGCCAGGGTTGGGGCTAGGGGTTTAGCCCAGCAAGGCCCTGGGTTAGGTCCTCAGCCCTGGGGGGAAAAAAAAGAGAGAGAGCCAGGGTTCTCACATAGATCTGCTGCATTCCAGCCCAGAGCTTGTTGTGTTGTGTTTTTTTAAATACCTGGCCTGCTGGGTTCTGGTTCCAGCAAGAGCTACCTGCACAGGCTGCTCTGAACAAGACACTGGCCAAAGGGCTAAGCGCAGGTCCAGAAGTCTTGGCCTGGCCAAAAGGCCAGCAGGAAAGCCAGCCAGCCAGTGGGGTGAACATTTTCTGTCATGAGGGCAATGGTGCAGATATGAGTCATCCAGCATGTTTATCCCCGGGAGAAAAACATTCAGCTAAACCAGCTGATGAAACCCACCGGGCTGATGAATTCCCAGCCCAGACTAACAACTGGGTGAAGCCATGGGAACTCCCCTTAGTCAGTGTTACTCACTGAGGGCTGCTGCCCAGCCAAGCCCAGGGTGTGGACACAGTATCTGATTCACAAAAAAAAGGAAAAAAAAGATAATGAATTTGGTTTGATTAATGGCCCCAGATTCTACTCAAGATCTATGGATGACTGAAGCCACTTCTCTGTATCCCAAGATGGACTGCGAAGCCAAGAATATTGGAGAGCCCCAGGCATGTGTGTGGTCTTACCATGTGAGCTAATCAACTCTGAGACTCCTAGAACTGACCCAAAATGTATGGATTCACTCTCTTGCTCCTCTAGAAGGATAACAGCCATTGAGGCCCTCACAGTGTTTCCTAAAAGACACAAGAATACATCAACTAAAATCTTAGGTATGGTTAACAAAGTCTTAACCACTGGTGGCAAAATATTCACAAGGTCCAGGTTAGGGAACTAGTGAGGGATCATAAGTGAGTTTAGAAGCTCTGGAGTGCTCTCCAGCTCTGCCACTGTGTAGCAGCCAGAGCTGAGCTGTGTGGGGGAAATTTCAGGTAGTGCAATGAGGGATGGCAGAGCCCAACCTCCAGTGAAATGGCTTGAAGCAGGCAGGCAGCATCAGCAGCTGTTTTGGACCTCTGGACTCACCTCCAACACTGGCGGTGACCAGGAGAGTGCTCCACAGGCTGGGAATCCCTTCCCCCACCCCACCCCGGTCTCAGCATCCCATGGCTGCTCCTGTTGCCTGTCCAGCCCTGAGGAGGACATCATGTGACAGGCTGCTCTTACCATGGGCAATTAAAACCTTTTACACCAGAATTCGGGGTTTTATTTTGTTTTAGCACCAGTACTGGTGCTTGAACTCAGGACCTAGGTACTGTCCCTTAGCTTCTTTGCTCAAGGCAAGTGCTCAACCACTTGAGCCACAGCTCCACTTCCTGCTTTTTGGCAGTTAATTAGAGATAAGACATCTCACAGACTTTCCTGCAGGACTGTCTTCAAACTGAAATCCTAAAATCTCAGCCTCCAGAGTACGTAGGATTATAGGCATGAGCCACCAGCACTCTGCTCTTTGTGGGGGGGGGAGGGGTGTAGACACCAGTGTTGGGACTTTAACGTTGAACCTTGAGCTCTGGCTCTCATTTTCTTTTCTTGAGGATGGTGGAGGGGTGGAGAGCCAGTGCTGAGCCTTGAACTCAGGGCCTAAGTGCTATCCCCTAGCCATTTTGCTCTACCACTTGAGCCACACCTCCCCTTTTAGCTTTTTATTGGTTAATTGGAGATGAGAGTCTCTCATATTTTTCCTTCAGGGATGGCTTCCAACCATGATTCTCAAATCTCAGCCTTCTAAATAGCTAGGATTAAAGGCATGAGACAGCAGCATCATATGGACATATAGATACTCTGTAGGCATATATTTATTTTATCTTATTTGCTGGTCCTGGTGCTTGAACTCAACACCTGGGCACTGTCTCTGAGCTTCTTTTGTTCAAGGCTATCATTCTACCAGTTGAACCACAGCTCTACTTCTGACTCTTTTGGCAATTGGAGATAAGAATCTCATGGATTTTCCATGAGAAAGCTGGTTCAAATCTTGATTCTCAGATCTCAGCCTCCTAAACAGCTAGGATTACAGTGTGAGCCATCAGAGCCCAGCAATGTTTTAAAATCTGACAGTTTGCTGAAGGAGCAGGAGGTTAGTGACTATTTAAACTCTGTAAGGTTAAGATTTAAATAAGAAGGGACATCTCTTTTACTTCATTAGTTACTTTTTAGTGCCAATACTGGGGCTTGAACTCGGGGCCTGAGAGCTGTCTCTTAGCTCTTTTGCTCAAGGATGGTACTCAACTACTTGGGATACACCTACACTTCTGGCTTTTTGCTGGTTAATTGGAGATAGGAGTTTTACAGACTTTTCTGCCTGAGATAGCTTCAAATTCTGATCCTCAAATTGCAATCTCCTAAGTAAGTAGTATTACCGGAGTAAGCCACTGGTATCCAGCTTATTTTATTATCTTTCATTTTACCTTATTTGTGGTACTCAGAATCAAACCCAAGTCCTCAGGTATAACAGGCAAGTTCTCTACCACTGAACTATACTCCAAGCCCAAATTTTGTTAATTTTATTTTTTTCTGGTGCTGAGACTCAAACCCAGAGCCTCATGCATATGCTCTGCCACTGACCTGCACCCCTAGCCACGATGTTGTAAATAAAATAATGTGGCAACACAGGAAATTTCACTTTTCTGCCCTTTTTCCTCAATTTGTTGTTGTTTAGTAAACTTTCTGACACTGAAGTCCATTTTCCCTGTCATATATGACCGCTAAAGTTCCTAGTCATTTAGCTTAGTGGCCAACCAATGATTGGACAGAGATTTCTTTAAGAGTCTACAAACCAATATATCTCCTATCTTTGCCAAGGGGTTTCGTGCTATGTGCGCATGTCTAGGTTTTCCTCCAACACTCTGTGAGGCAGTGTACATTGCTGCCTAACCCTCGCTTCTTGCTTGCCAAGATCCCCAAGATAAGTCCGATGGATGAGTTCTGAGCCATGTCAGGTCTCTACTGAGCATGTACACAGTCCTACACAGCAGTCTTCAAGAATGTGATCTCCAGGTGTTAGTGTTCAAAGCCCCTACAGACATATCAGTTTCAGCTTTTCCTTCACAGGTTTTTATTGGGCCTGTTAGACAAATGAAGACATCTTGGTTGTGGAGTGTTCCTGACTACCAGCTAGGTCAAATATGACAGTTCTCTGCAGATGAGGTTTTTTATTCAATTAACCATCAAGCCAGGAGTGGAGGTATGGCTCAAGTGATAGAGCATCAGCCTTGAATAGAAAGGCTGAGGGATAGAGCCCTGACCCTGTGTTCAAGCCCCACTGGATGCATGTGTGTGGAAAGAAAGAAAGAAAGAAAGAAAGAAAGAAAGAAAGAAAGAAAGAAAGAAAGAAAGAAAGAAAGAAAGAAAGAAAGAAAGAAAGAAAGAAAGGAAAGGAAAGAAAGAAAGAAAGGAAAGGAAAGAAAGAAAGGAAAGGAAAGAAAGAAAGAAGGAAGGAAGGAAAGAAAGAAAGGAAGGAAAGAAAGAAAGGAAGGAAGGAAGTCAGGAAGGAAGGGAAGGAAGGAAGGAAGAAAGGAAGGAAGGAAGGAAGTCATATGAGCCTCTTTCAAATGAGGCAGCCTAAAGCCAAACTCTTAATAGGTTGGTCCATTTTCTTAGTCCTCCAAGAACTTGCAAGAAAAATGAGAAGAATATGCTAGACAGATTCTGGTCCTTTTTGGGGATATCAATGCACTCAATTACGTCAATTATGGTTTCTCACTGGGTTTCCATGGCTGGTGGCTCACATCTGTAATGTTAGCTACTCAGGAGGCTAATATCTGAGGATGGAAGTTTGCAGCCAGCCCAGGCAGAAAGTCCATGAGACGCTTATTTTCAATTAACCACCAAAAACTAGAAGTGGAGTTATGGCACAAATGGTAGAGCACTAGTCTAGGCCCTAAAGGACTAGTACAAAACAAACAAACAAAGGCTTTCATGAAGCAATCTGGGGGGATATAGCTCAGTGGTAGAGCACACATTTAGAATGAAAGGAGGAAGGGGAAGAAGGAAGAGGAAACAGAAATGAATGGGATGGGGGTAGAGGGAGAGACAGGAGACAGACAGAAAGTAGCAAGCAAGCGCATGAACAATTCAAGCTTCTCCGTGAACAGGAGAAATCTTGGAGTGATAGATAAGCATCTGATCGGGAGGCTATCCGCAGGCTGCCGTGTCCCCCTCCAGCAGAGGAGGGATTGCCTAGTGGTTCCATCCAGTTAGAAATGAATCCAGCACTCTGTGTATAGGCTTCATGACTCTTTATTGACACTTGGGGAGGATTAGCCCCAGAGGCACGGACTCACTGTCCCAGTCTGCCCAGGCCTTCTGCTGTATGGGTGACGGCGTCAGTGACAGTGTGGGTCAGTTTCTCAGTGACATCCTTCACCACTTTCTCCCCTGACTCTTGGGCTTTCTTTAAAGCTTCAGCGATGGCTGTGGGGAAGAAAAACAAAGTGTGGCTGAGTTAGCCACCGTCTAAACAAGGGACACCGTGATGTCTCATGGGATTGGCCCTTAGGACAGACCCAAGAGGACTAAGAAAAAAGGGCTCCTGGCAGAATGAATTTGATTGAGTTTTATTTCCCTAACAAATTACATTTCTTCAATTTGGAGGGTGGGAGAGGCCTTAACTCTAGTCCTTATGCTTGGCTTTTTTTTTCCCCCAAGGCTAGCACTCTACCACAGGAGCTACACCTCCACTTTGGGCTTTCTGCTAGATAACTAGAGATAAGAGTCTCACAGACTTTACTGCCTATGCTGGCTTTGAACTGGCTAACCTCAGATCTCAGCCTCTGAGTAGCTAGGATTTACAGGGGTAAGCCAGCAGTGTCTGGCTATGATTCTATTTTGATATAAAGAATAAAGTACCACATGATCTACTTACACTGTCCAAACCACAGCACACACATACAAACATAGTTACACAAGTACATACTTATATATTTAATTATTCGGTCTCTGTGTGCTGCTGTTCAGACCTTATCGTACCATTCCACAGAGAGGACTACCAGGAAGGAACCTCACACAAGGTGTGGTCTGCATAATAATTGCATGCATAAATAATTACATGCCAACTGAAGGGATGCACTATAGGGACAAGACTTGACCTAGTTGGGGAAAAAAGGGGTTGGCTTCAGCACCTAGTTTTCCTTTCTTTCTTCCTCCCTATTTCCCTGCTTGCTGTGTCTCTCATTTATTTCTGTCCTCTCACTGAGAATGGAATCCTTTCATACATGCTAAGTAAACAGTCTACCCTTGAGCTACACCTAGCCTTTGCGTGCATGTGTATGTCTATGCGCACGCACGTGTGTGCCATTACTGGTGCTTGAACTCAGGGCCTTGTTTACTTCTACTCAAGGCTGTTACTCCACCACCTGAGCCATCCCTCCACTTCAGCATTTTTTCTGGTTAGTTGGAAACATGGGTCTCTCAAATCTGTCTACCCTGGCTGGCTTTGAACCAAAATCCTCAGATCTCAGCCTCTTTGAGTAGCTAGGATTGCAGACATGAGCCACCAGAGCCCTGGCCCTAGTCCTTAGCCTTTTCTTTTCCCTTTTTCTTCTTCTTTCCTTTCCTCTCTGCTTCCTTCTACCATCCTTTCTTTCCCCCCATCCAGCCCTCCTTCCTCTCTCCCACTTCAGTGTCCATACCTTTCTCTCCAGCCTCCTTGGCGTGGTCCACCACCTCCTTTACCACTTCCTCCACAGCATGAACTGAATAGGAGAGATAAATTGAGTGAGAGCCAGTGTCAGCCTGCTGCCCACCCCACCCCACAGCCAGGTCAAAATGACTCAGGATAAGCCCCCAGCTGGCTCTCTATAAAGACCCAAGAAGCCTGGCTGCTGTAGATGACCTGGTCAGCCTGAGGACACAAGCCCTCCATGCCCCACAGCCTTACAGGACTTGGAGGCCAGGGTTGGCTTCTGCCAGCTGGACACTTGAGCCAAGTTGGGTGTATTTACCAAGCCACCACGCCTCTCAGGATGAGCTGGCTGTCCTGCCTTGGCCTTGGCCTCATTCCCACGCCTCTTACAAAGAAACCAACTCTCCCCACCCCCCCCACCCAAGCAAGTTATCAGGATAAAGGAATTCCCTGAACACCATAGGGTCTCTATATTGTTTTCTTTTTTTGTGGGGAGGGGTGGGGGATAATGTGCTAGAACTGAATGATTTTGGAGTCAGAACTTTTCTACTGCGAGTTTTTCATCTGTTAAAAAAGGAAAAACAGAAGCCAGGTTCCACCGCCTCCCACCAGTGGAACTTGCATGAGCTGCCACATGCCGCCCCTGGCCAGTCACCTCACACAAAGCCAGGTCCTGGGTTCCCAGAAGAATGGAAATGTCCTTTCAGACTTTGAACAGGCACAGACTCTGTGCTTTTGTAATAAGCGAATCTTTGAAGCTTTAACTTTAGGGTGAAAAGTAAAATCTGCCCTCCTTTTGTTGCATAGACTAGATAGAAGAAGCAGGTTTTTGTGTATGTTTTGTGTCATTTCATAGTGCAAAACAAAATAAAAATAAAAAATTACAGCCTTATGCCTGTAATCCTAGTTACTCAGGAGGTTGAAACTGAGATCTGAGGGTTGCAGTTCAAAGCCAGCCCAAGCTGGCTCTGTGTGTGTGTGTGTGTGTGTGTGTGTGTGTGTGTGTGTGTGTATACATACATGCACCAGCCTTGGGGACTAATGTCAGGGCCTAGACACTGTCCCTGAACTGTTTGGCTCATCTAGTGATCTACCACTTGAGCCATAGCTCCACTTCTGGCTTTTTACTAGTTAACTGGAGATAAACTAGGCTTTACTGCCTTGGCTATCTTTGAACAGAGATTCTTAAATCTCAGCCTCCAGAGTAGCTAGGATTACAGGCATGATCCACCAGCATCCAGCCTATGAGGGTTTTGTTTTCTGGTTTTGTTTCTGGTTTTGCCATTCCTGGGGATTGAATTCAGGGCCAGAGCTCTGTCCCTGAGCCTCTCTGTGCTCAAGGCTAGTGTTCTACCACTTGAGCCACTGTACTTTTTCTGTCTTTCTTGCTTCTTCTGTTTATGTACTGAGGAAGAGAGATTGAACCCAGGGCTTCATGCATGCTAGGCAAGCACTCTACCACTAAGCCATATTCGTAGCCCTCTGTGAGGTTCTTATATCCAATTAACCACCAAAAAGCTGGAAATGGAGATGTTGCTCAAGTGGTAGTACAATCGCTTTGAGTAAAAAAGCTAAGGAAAGCAAGAGGCTTTGAGTCCACACACACACTCACACACACACACACACACACACACACACACACACACACACACGAAAAATAATAATGATGAAATAAAAGAAAACTACACACACACACACATGAAAAATAATAATAATGAAATAAAAGAAAACTACACCTCAGAGGTGCTAGTGGAGGATAAAAAGAGGTCTGTACCACTCACAGATTGAAAAATAAAAGGGCAGGTGTGTCTGCAGCTGTCTAAAGAACAGAAAGTTCAGCACAGCATTTTTGCCATCACCTCCCACCAGTGGAACTTGCATGAGCTGCCACATGCCGCCCCTGGCCAGTCACCTCACACAAAGCCAGATCCTGGGTTCCCAGAAGAATGGAAATGTCCTTTCAGACTTTGAACAGGCACAGACTCTGTGCTTTTGTAATAAGTGAAGCTTTGAAGCTTTAACTTTATGGTAAAAAGTAAAATCTGCCCTCCTTTTGCTGCATAGACTAGATAGAAGAGGCAGGTTTTTGTGTATGTTTTGTGTCATTTCATAATGCAAAACAAAATAAAATTAAAAAATAAAATCAACTGCCAGACTCTGGTGGCTCACACCTATAATCCTAGTACTCAAGAGGCTGAGATCTGAAGATCACAGTGCAAAACCAGCCCAGAAAAGTCCATGTAACTTTTATCTTCAATTAACCAGCAAAAAGCCGGAAGTGGATTGTGGCTCAAGTGGTAGAACACCAGCCTTAAACAAAAAAGCCGAGTGAGGGCTGGGAAGGTGGCTCAGTGGTAGAGCACTTGCCCTGCATGCTCGAGGCCCTGGGTTCGATTCCTCAGCACCACATAAGCAAAAAGAAAAAAGCCGGAATTAGCGCTGTGGCTCAAGTGGTAGAGCGCTAGCCTTGAGCTGAAGAGCTGAGGGACAGCGCCCAGGCCCAGAGTTCAGGCCCCACGACAGGACCCAAAAAAAAAAAAAAAAGCCGAGTGAGAGCATGTGGTTCTGAATTCAAGTGCTAGCACCAGTACTGAAATTAAAAAATAAAAATCACAAGGCCTGGGCTAGGAATATGGCTTCATGGTAGAGTGCGTGCCTAGCATGTCTGAAGCCCTGGATTCGATTCTTTAGTACCACATAAACAGAAAAAGCCAGAAGCGGTGCTGTGGTTCAAGTGGTAGAGTGCTAGCCTTGAGCAAATGAAGCTAAGGGATAGTGCCCAGGCCCTATGTTCAAGCCCCAGGACTGGCAAAAAGAAAAATCACAAGGCCTTGCATATCCTAGGCAAGTGCTCTACCACTAAGCTATATTCCAGCTCCAGAATAGGCAGATTGGAGGGAAGTCTCTCCAGGTTTCCAAAGAGAAGGCTCTAAGTCTGCCAGCTCTTAGTACCTGGGGCCAACACTCCCCTCAGGCCTGGTCTTCCTCCTAACCCTCAACACTCACAGCCCCTGAGCAGGTTCGTGCAGGTGACCCAGGGAAGTAAGTCTGCTCGGGCACAGGACTTCACTGGCTTCTCCTGAGTCACCCTCTCAGTCGCTAGGTCCCCAGGACCACCCTCTTTTGATGAAGATTGCCCACCAAAGGTCCCAATGGGGCCCCAATCTCCTCCAAATCCCTCACCCGTGTGTTGTCACCAGCTTTCCATGGACCCAGGTGAGTCTGCCCCTACCTTGCCAAGTAGAAAGAAGCCCAGATCTTACCAGCCCCCTCAGTGGCCTTCTCAGTTCGGTGAGCCAGGCCCTCGGCCGCCAGCTTCCCCAAACCTCCAAACATGGTTCAAATGCAAGCAGTGACAAGTAGGATACTGGGGACCGGACTAGCAGGCTTTTATAGATGCTCCTGGTATGGGCGCTGGGCCCTCACCAGGCCAGGAGGATGCTGGGTGGATGAGTCAGTGCAGGTACCTGGGAGGAAGAGGCTGGGTGGGGCATCCCAAGGCTATACACTGCCCTGGTCACAGTGAGGAGCCCCCTTGCCCCATGGCCTAAGAACTTTATGAAGCGCAGCGACCGCAAGTAGAGCTGAAGCCGGGAAGGAGGGGTCAGCTCTGGATATTTCCAGTCGCAGAGGTTCGGAGACTGAGTGTTCTGGGGTATGACAGTTTTGCCAAACCTGGGTACTATATGTCCCTAGTGACAATGCATAGGAGCTCCAGACTGCTAGCCAGAGTGCCCAGTATGGCCTAGTCAGGCTTTTTTTTCCTGTGCCCATCTTGGGGTTTGAACTACGGTCCTGGTTGCTGTTGTGAGCTTTTTTTTTTGGCCAGTCCTGGGGCTTGAACTCAGGGCCTGGGCACTGTCCCTGAGCTTCTTTTGTTCAAGGCTAGCACTCTACCACTTGAGCCACAGGGCCACTTCTGGCTTTTTCTGTGTATGTGGTACTGAGGAATTGAACCAGGGTTTCATGCATGCTAGGCAAGCACTCTGCCACTAAACCACATTCCCAGCCCCCATGAGCTATATATTCTACTATAAGCCACAGCTCCACTTCTGCCCCACCCCCCATTTTTTGTAATTTATTGGAGATAAGAGTCTCATGGATTTTCCTACCTCTGCTGGCTTCAAATTGAAAGTCTCAGATCTCAGCCTCCTCAGTAGCTAGGATTGAAGTGTGAGCCACTGGTGCTTGGCAGGGCATTTTGATTAATTCAAAGACCTTAATAAAAGCAGGGTGGTGTGTGTGTGTGTGTGTGTGTGTGTGTGTGTGTGTGTGTGTGTGTGTGTGTGTGTGTTGGTACTGGGGCTTGAACTTTAGGCCTCAAGTTGTCATTTGGCTCTTCTCATCAAGGCTGGAGTACTACCACTTGAGCCCCACCACTAAGTTTTTTGTGGTTAATTGAAGATAAGAGTCTCACAGATTTTTCTTGTCTTAGCTGTCTTTGAATAACCATGATCCTCAGATCTCAGGCTCCTGAACAGCTAGGATTACAGCTGTGAGCCATCAGTGTCCAGCAAAGACAATTTTTGTGTATGTGTGTCAGTCCTGGGGCTTGACTCAGAGCAGAGCACTGTCCCTAAGATTCTCTTGTTCAAGCTAGCATTCTACCACTTATGCCACAGCTACACTTCTTGCTTTTTATTGAAGAGGGGGTAGTTTATTAGAGATATGAGTCTCATTTTCCTGCCCAAGCTGGCTTTGAACTACGATCCTCAGATCTCAGCCTCTTGAGTAGTTACGATTACAGACATGAGCTACTGCCACCCAGCAAACACATCTTTGAAGTTGCTTTTTGCACTATGGGCCTGAAGCCAGGGGCAGCTACTAAGGTCAGGCACATCATGGAGGGGATACCCCAGTTCTTGCCATGCCAAGGACACTGGCTCTGAAGAGCAGCTTTGCAACCTTATTACACAGGTGCTGCCTTTTCACAAGAGAGAATATAGCATTGTTCAGATGCAAGTCACCATGGCTCACCAGTCAGCTGATTCCCTCTCCCAACTCCTGGGTAGCCCAGTGCGGAGGCAGCCAGCACATAGGGACCCTGGCCTTCTCTGTACCTTTGGGCTTGGCCTGCATGCAGCAAAGGTCATGTTGCCTCCCTAGTTACTCAGCGGGACAGAGATGTCTCGAGTCATGTATAGCATTCTGCCTTCCTTAGTCATTGGCCCAACTTGAGCTGCAGTTTCCTCATCTATAAAATAGGGACAGCTTTGCCTTCCTGGCTATGTCACCAATAACATGCAAACTCTTGGCTAATACCTGTTTTCTCCTCTTCATTAAGGATGGGCACTGGTGACTTATATCTATAATCCTAGCTACTCAGGAGGTTGAAATCTGAAGATCTCAGTTCAAAGCCAGCCAGCCAGGAAAATCTGTGAGGCTCTAACCTTCAACGAGCCACAAAAAAGCCAGAAGTGGAGCTGTGGCTCAAGTGGTAGAGCACTGGCTTTGATCAGAAAAAGCTAAGGGACAGTGCCCAGAGCTTGAGTTCAAGCAGTACTGGTGCATGCATCTGCACTTGTGTATGCACACACACACACACACACACACACACACACACACACCTGTAATTAAGGAGTATCCTTGGCAGTGAACCCTGCCTAACCAGTAGCAGGGTGGGGCCAAGGTGGGGTTAGAATATTTGGGAGCCAGAGGTTCTGCTAGTCAGGAGTTGAGGGGAGAGCTTCAGAATCTTGCTCACGTGGTCCAGTCTGGAGGCAGGCTCTCCCTTAGGCTTCTAGGTGTGGCCAGATCTAATTAGTGTTTACTAAGATCTTGGGCCTTCACAGCCCAAGCTCTTCAGAGCTCTTCAAAGTGAGGCCCTCTCCCATTCCTGCTCAGTGATGGTAGGCCTAGGGCTATGGTCAGAGCGGGGCTTTGAGAAACAAGACCACTGAGTCACAAGGGCATACCTGTCATTTCCATGTTCTTGGGGCAGAGGTGGATCCAAGGAAGCCGTCTTTGAAAAAAGGGATGGAGCCAAATGCTGGTGGCTCGCTCTTGTAATCCTAGCTATTCAGGATGCTGCGAGCTGAGAATTTAGTTAGAAGCCAGCCTGGGCAGGAAAGTCCATGAGGTTCTTATTTCCAATTCACCACCAACAAAGCTGAAAGTTAGGCACTGACTGGCAGGATAGAAGACTGAGATGTGAGGATTAGAGTTCAAAACCAGCATGTGCAGTAAAGCTGGTGAAACTCTTATCTCCAATTAACTATTTTTTTAAGCCAGAGGGCTGGGAATATGGCTTATTAGTAGAATGCTTGCCTAGCCTGCATGAAGCCCTGAGTTTGATTCCTTACATATAAACAGAAAAGGCCAGAAGTGGCACTATGGCTCAAGTGGTAGAGTGATAGCCTTGAGTACAGATTGGCTCCGCCTGACAGAGCCCAGGCCCTGAGCTCAAGCCCCAGGACTGGCAAAAAAAAAAAAAAATAGTCAGAAGTGGAGCTGTAGAGAAAGAGCACCAGCCTTGAGTGAAAATGCTAAGGGACAGTCACTGAGTTTAAGCCTAAGGGACAGTGCCTAGGCCCTGAGTTCACATCTCAGTAAGAGAGCACACACAGACACACACACACACATATACACACATATACACGTGTGTATCCATATATATGCAATATGCATATGATTCTTGCTACCCTGTGAACCTGGAAGGGACTGGAAAAAAGGGGCGGCGGGTTGGGTGGGGGGGAGGCAGGTCCTGGTACGCATACAAGCCCAGTGAGTCAACCCTGTTTTCCCCTTGTTCCAGAATATTCTACTCAGTGTCAGAAAGGAGAAGGCTGCTGATGAGAAGAGCACTGAATGAAGCATGGGAACATTCCCTGGACTGGTCAAAGACCTTCCCATCTCCCCTGTGCATGGGTGTGACCCCTACTCCCATATGGATCCCCTTTGTCCATTCTTTTGACAGGAAACACACAACAGTTACAGAAAGCTTTTATACCCACTAAACTCCTCTCTCATGGACCCCAGACTAGGGGTGCTTGTCCCAATTCCCCTCACTACAGCTCACCTGCCCTCAGAAAGAGGCTTCTACCAGAGCTTAGCCCCATGGCAGGACTCTGGCTCTAGTGCCAGGTGCAAAGTCCAGCCCAGAAACCCTGACCCCAGACACAAATGCTGCCCCTCTACAAGTCCCCTTCCCATGAGACTCTGCCCTGGGATGAACCTGGGGTGAGCACTGTGACCCCAAATGCCATCTTACTATAAATTACCTTGTGTCCAGAAACAAGTCCTAAATGCCTGGCAGGATGAAGGCAAGAGGCCAGGAGAAGCCAAAATGCCCAGGACTGGACTTGGGCCTCTGACCCTTCTGCTCTGATTAGATCCAGTCCCATCTGATCTTCTGGCTCCAGCTGTGACCAGTTTCCTGTCCTCCTGGATCAGCCTGTGTGCCCAGACCGGCTTCCGTATTCCTCTCAGACATGCCTCATTCTGGACTCCTTTCTTTCTTTTTCTTTTCTTCTTTTCCTGTTACCTTCTATTTGTATGTATGGGTGTATATGTGTCTGGACATTCTTTTTGTGTGTTTGGGGCTTGACCTCAGGACCTGGCTGTTGTCCCTGAGCTTCTTTGTCCCAAGGTTAGCACTCTGCCACTTGAGCTGTAGTGCCACTTCCAGCTTTTCTCTGAGTACTACCACTTTTAGTTTATTGGAGATGAGTCTCATCAACTTTCCTGCCCCAGCTAGCTTCTAACTGTGATCCTCAGATCTCAGCCTCCTAGGATTATAAGCATGAGCCACCAAGCACTCAGCTCTGGATACTCACTCTTCTTTATCTTTTTCTGCTTAAGGCTGATGCTCTACCATTGAGCTACAGCTTCACTTCTGGATTTTTTGCTGGTAAATGGAGGTAATAATCTCTCTGATTTATTTGCCCAGGCTGGCATCTAACCTCAGTCCTCAGATCTGAGCTTCCTGACTAGCTAGAATGACGGGCATGAACCACTGGCACCATGCTCCTTGACCCCTTTTGTGGGAAATAAAGTGAATGATGCACCAAGTCATTGATGGACAAGACATCTGACTCTGAGTGAAAAGCTGCTTATAGGATGACTTAGCAGCTGACTGATTGATGAGATAACCATAAAGCCCAGAACTGAGTGGCGAATAGGACATCACAAGCAGTGGTAGAGGAGGGAATCAATTAGTAGGGAGAAGAGTGAATCCCCATAAAATGACACATGCCAGAAAGCACAGACCAAAAGAACTCCCCTGCTCAGAATGCAAAAAAAAAAAAAAAGATGAAGAAAAGATTCTCTTCTAAAATTCACTCAACCTCCAAAAGTGCATTTGTTTTCCTGTTGGTATGTGTGTGTGTGTGTGTGTGTGTGTGTGTGCGCGTGCACGCACACACTGGTCTTAGGGCTTGAACTCAGGGCCTTTGGCACTTTCCCTGAGGTTTGGTGCTCAAGGCTGCCACTCTATTATTTGAGCCACAACTGCACTTCTGACTTTTGGGTGGTTAATTAGACACAAGAGTGGTTTCGAACCTTGATCCTCACATCTCAACCTCCTGAGTAGCTAGGATTACAGGTGTGAATCAGCAATGTCTGGCAATGTATTTAAATTTCAAATTGGAGAACAAAGTTGTTTAGTATAAACTCTCTGGGTATCTCTGCCCAGCAGACAACTGATCTTATAAGATTTTCATTAAAGTCTCAGTTTTGTTGTACTTTGTGTCTCCAAGTACCCCCCCTTTCTTTTTTTTTTTTTAGCTTGGCCAAATGAGTATGTTTCTTGCATTTTCTAGTCCCTCCTAACCACATTTAGGCTCCAGATGACTCCAGTCTAAAACATGGGCTCCAGACCCTCCTGGAGGGAGCTACTTTACCAGATTACTCAAAGTTGAAGATGACTCAGGTGGATCCCACCCACCATCACCCCATCTTAGAAGAAGGGCCCCCAGAGTAGCCCTTGAACACAGGTGCCCATGCCAGCATATCCTGAGTCAAAAGGTCAAGTCCAACCTCCTCTGGGATAGGGACAATCTGGTTTTGCCAGGAGTAAACCCATTTTCCAAGGGGAATTTGCTCTCTGTTTGGCAAACACCCAGCTGGCTGAATCATCAGTCAAGAAGAGCCAACATTTCAAATAGCAATTTGCCAACTTAGTAATTACCAATGCTCTTGTTAAAATGTTTGTATTGCACAGCAAAATACGTAGGGCTGACGTAGGACAATTCCTTGTATGGTTTGAAATGAGCTGTCAGACTTGCCTGCATCTGTGAATGTCATCCAGGCACCTGATGGCAGTCAGGGGACACAAGCAAATGAGTACCTGAGAGCCTTCAGATAGATGTGAAGGACCCGTGAGAGTTGATGGAATGCTGATGACTAGCAACAGTGGCAATTCTTTCTGTGGATGTACCAGTACCAGGGCTTGAACTCAGGACCTCACCCTCTTGCTTGGCTCTTTCACTAAGTTGTAGACATTATATGAGCCACACCACCCCTTCCAGCTTATTGGTGCTTAATTAGAGATAAGCGCCTCACAAACTTTTCTGTTGGGGCTTGCTTTGAACCTCAACCCATTGATCTCAGTCTCCTGGGTAGCTAGGATTACAGGTGTGAGCCACCCATGCCTAGCTACTAATTATCTCCCTGGATCTGGAGGAGCAGAAGAGAGATCTATGGCTTAGAGCCTTCCTCTGAGGAATACCACCATTGTCAAACCATACATAGTAAGGAGGGAGCTCTCTCCTCTCAATTTCCTACCAATAGCCCCTGTTGACTGACCCCTAACTACAATCAGGCTTATTATGCATAAACATAAATGACCTTTGCCAAAATGTGAAGTTCAACACATCATCAATAATGAATCATCAACATGAACCCTGGGATACAAAACACAGAAAAGAAAACAACATTGTTTCTTTTGTGTGTGTGTTAGTACTAAGGGTTGAACTCAGGGCCTGGGTACTGTCCCTTAACATTTTTGCCCAAAACCAGTGCTCAGTGGGGCACCAGTGGCTCACTTCATAATCCTAGCTACTCAGGAGGCTGAGATACAAAGATCACAGTTCAAAGCCAGCCTGGACAAGAAAATCTGTTAAGACTGTTATCTCCAAAAAGAAAAAACTGGCCCTGAGATCTAGCTCAGTGGCAAAGTGCTTGCCTAGCAAGTGCAATGTGCTGGGTTCAATCCCCATTACCAAAGAGGAAAAGACAAAACAACAATTAAAAAAAAAAACAAAAAAAAAACAGAACAAAAACAAAAAACGCTGGAAGTGGAGCTGTGACTCAAGTTGTAAAGCTCAGAGACAGTACCCAGACCCTGAGTTTAAGCCCCAGAACCAACACACACACACACACACACACACACACACAGAGCAGGTGCTTTACAACTTACTTGAATCACAATTCCACTGCTGGCTTTTTGCTGCTTAATTAAAAATAAGAGGCTGTTGGATTTGTCTGCCCAGTCAAACTTCAAACTGTGATCTTCAAATCCCGGTTTTCTGTATAGCTAGTATTAAAGGCATGAGCCATTGGCTCTTGGCCATTTCTGAGATATTCCTACCAAACCTCTATAACCTCTGTCCAACATGTGAAAATATCAGACAAACCCAAACCAAAGCACATTTGACAAACACAGATGCAGACAAAATAAAATTGTCAAGATTGTGAAAGAACAAGAAAGGTGAACAACTGTGATTTCAGTCCTGTGAAACTTCAGGAGACTAGGAAGGAATAACTATAAAATGCACTTTGGGATCTTGGATGGAATCCTGGAAACAAAAAGACACTGGTGGAAAAAACTAAGGAAATTCCAATAAGGTGTTTAACTAATAAGTTCATTTACTTAGTTAACTTGTTACAAAAGTACAGACCAGCCAAGATCAAGATTAGAGCCAGAAGCTGGCACTAGTAGTCAGAAGCTGGGTGCTAGTAGTCCATGTCTGTAATCCTAGCTACTCAGGAGGCTGAGATCCGAGAATCACAGTTCAGAGCTAGCCCGGGCAGGAAAGTCTATGAGACTCTAATCTGCAGTTAACTGGAAGTGGCACTGTGGCTCAAAATGACAGTGTTTGCCTTGAGCAAAAAAGCTCAGGGATAGAACCCAGGCCTTGCTTGAGTTCAAGGCCTATGACCAAAAAAAATAGGGGACTGGGAAGGTGGCTCAGTGGTAAACTGTTTGCCTTGCATGCATGAGGCCCTGGGTTCGATTCCTCAACACCATATAAACAGAAAAAGCCAGAAGTAGCACTGTGGCTCAAGTGTTAGGGTGCTAGCCTTGAGCTGAAGAGCTGAGGGACAGGTCCCAGGCCCAGAGTTCAAGCCCCATGACTGACCAAAAATAAAAAAATAAAAACAAAAATAAAATAAAAACAAAAAGGTTTGGATGATGAGGGAGAGGAGGAGACCTTGGGTTTCATACAAGCTGGTTATGAAGTAGAAAAGTTACCCCTCCAGGAAAAGGCACTTTCTAGCATTCAGTTGCTGGAGTATGGCCTCTATACAGTTGTGGGAATGTGGCCTGGTAGGATTACTGCTAGAATGTGGGTTGGGGCAGACTAGGTAGGGCCATTTGAATCAAAAATGGAAACCCACAACACATTATTTTAAATAGTAACACAGAAGGGGTAGAGACAGGATGTCAAGATTCCTGCATAACCAGAAAGGAACTGACCACCTGGTCAGAAATTAATGACAGCCTGCCTGACTTTTTGTATATCTGATTGATGCCTATTTTGTGTATAACCAGCTTGTATAAAACCCAAGTTATCCCCTCCCTCGGGATCAAACTTCTTTCTGGCACTAGCCTGGTTCAGATCGCAGGCAATAAACTTCTTTATCCTCTCTAAAAAGTGGTCTTGATCTTAGCTGGTCTGTAATGCCACAACATTTGGAGGCACCAGCCAGATCACTTCTACCCACCCAACACTGTTTAAGGCCCTCTCCCTGGAGGCTCCCTATGATACCCATGGATTCTGGGAGGAGAGGAGGTGCCACCTGATGATGTTCCAGGACCTGCCCCTCAGAGACTATGCAAGAGTGCTGAACAAGATCTGTTCTATATTTAGGTGAGTTAACTCATTAGGGCTTCCTGAGTTGGGTGACTGAGTAATGGCCTATCTGGATGCGAATCTGAAGTCTGACATGTTTTGGTTTTGACTGGCCTCGGCCATGACTCTAGTTGTTTGAATTGTTCCTTGTCAGAATTGGTCCTGATAAGAACAGCCATTTGGCCTCAGAAGACATTGGTTGTCATTTTGTCTGTCTGCAAGTGATGGGAATCTGCCTTGTTCTCATAACCCCATGTTACCCCCAT